CAGGGCTGCGGCTGGCTTTCTTCCAGCCCTGAAAGGGATCTGGCTGCAACGGGGAGAGGGCTGGGAAGATCTCGGCGCAGCTCCTCGCGAAGCCGGCTTCCCCTTTCAGGGCATTGTGCGTGTGCATTGCAGCTGTAGCGAGGAGCTGCCTGCAGCCTGCGCCTCAGCAAAATGTAGGTTAGCGAAGCATTAGGACCCTAGCCTTAGAGGCGAGATGGGTGCTGGGCCCAGCCTGCTCAGGCACAGTTCAGGCTCCTTTTGCTGCTGCTATGGGGATCGCCAACCCCCCTCCCCGTCTGTAGTGCCGCAGTGGGACCTGGGGTTAGCGTGCTCCCCACCCTGCTTGGCTCAACATCCCCCCCAGCACTGCAGAGAGTCCTCAAGCCAAGCAGGGATGCGGGGAGCTTGGCCGTGCTGCAGCCGGCTGTGGGGAGGACTGTACGCAGAAGACACTGCCTGCAGGAGAGCGTTTGGGCAGGTGTGTTTATTAGCATCATGCAATGGCCCCAGTTAAGTACTGACTTGGTCTCTGAGGCTGTGCTGGTAAAAGCCAAGAAGGTGAAATGAGCCAAGGGAGGCGGAGAAGGACTAGCACTAGCGGGGCCCCCTCCCTATTCTATTAAGCCTGTCCCAGCAAGCCCACGGGGACGCCAGGCACCAGCTGAGGGTCTAATCTAGCCAGGACTGCTCTGCCCCGGGAGCCTGGGTGAGGCACAGCATGCTTTGTCCAAAGAACTGGCTGGAACAGTCTGCTTGCTTGGCACCCCATACCTGTGTCCCCCGAGCCCTGGCTAGGCCAGGCAGAGGTAATTCCTGATGAGCCTTTAGGGACATCTAGGCACAGCTGGGTGTCCCTCATTGAGGGCAGAACATCAGCTCTCCCACATCCCATCTTGCGCCCACCATGGTGGACAGGAGCAGGGCAGGGAGCCCAGCAGCAGTGGGGCTGGGGGAGCTGAACAGCCTGCCAGCTCTGCTGCCAGAGCTGGACCCAGCCACAGGAGATGCACGAATTATTGACTGTGGAGCTGATCAGCTGCTCCTTGCCATGAGCCCCTTGATGCTGGCTCGACTGCCTTGGCCCGGTCCATTCTTCCATCTAGCTGTGGGTTCCAGATCACAGCTGGGCAGTGTATCATAGGATGGAGGGGGGCAGTGAGGCCTGGAGCCAGCAGGAAAGGGTGTGAGAGGATTTGCTGTGGGCTGGTCCCTGGCCCCTGCAGTCCCTGGCCTTGGGAGAGGGGCCCACTGTGAGTCGATCCCTGTGCGTTTCCTACAGAGCAGCAGGATGGCCGAGAAGGGTATGGATCCCGCGTGTGTCTCCATTGCCCTGGAGGACACAGTGTGCCACGCCAGCCCCCCAGATGCCCCACTCCTCACCACCCACTTGAAGAAGGTGGAGAACCACATCACAGAGGCCCAGAGGTTTTCCCACCTCCCAAAGCGCTCAGCCGTCAACATTGAGTTCATTGACCTGTCCTACTCTGTGCGTGAAGGCTCTTGGTGGAGGAAGAGAGGTAGGAGCTGCCAGCTGGGGAAGGGCAGGGGAGGGGACCTGCAGGGCTATTGCACCCCTCTCCCGTTCTGTATGCCTTGATCTCACCCAGGTCCCCAGCATCTTCCTCTGTGCTGGATTCATCGCTTCTCTGCTAATTCCTGCTCTAGGCAGCCCCAGTCTCTGCAAGCATAGAGCGCCTCAGCTCTCTGCCTGCCAGCGGGAGCTTGCCTCAGTGCATGGTAGCGGGGCTGCACACAGGGAGCCACAGTGGGAGATGCTGGAGCCACTCGCCCTGTGCTCACCCTGCTGTCCCCTGTGGCAGTGGGGGCTGGCTGGGTGGTCGGGCTGTACGGCCCTGTGGTCTGTCTGAGCGCCAGGTCCTGTTTGCAGCCATGCTGGGGCTGACTGTCCTTGCTGGGCGCCTGTGGGTGGAGGGCAGGCTTGTGTCCCGCAGCAGTTGCTGCGCACCTCTGCTGTGCAATGACAGAGGAAAGCAGATCGCATCCCAGGGAAGCCTCTGGCCAGAGCTGCATGAGGGAGATGGGGCAGATTTCCTGGTTCAGGGGCAGCTAGGATGGATTAGTTTCCCCAGTCGTGTTGTTTGGGGTATGATGCCCGTGTGCGATGTGCTGACAGCAGGAGACCCCAAGAGGTGCCCCAGCTCAGAGCCTGGCAAGGAGAATATGTGTGACTTGCAGGGGATTTCCTCTCCAGCGGCTCCCTGTGCAGCTGAGGCCACGGTCCCCTTTCCTGTGTGTGACTGGCCAAGAGCTCAGGGAGGGGAGAGGGGAGAGGGGAGGCAGATGGTTGCTGGTGGGTGGTAGTCTGCTTTAATTAGCTCTCTCAGTTAATGGGATGCCAATCAGGCAGCCCCATGAGACGGAGGGGGAGCTGATCTGCAGAAGCTGAAGGCTGGCAGGGATGAGCGGGGGGCCTGGGGTGAGCAGACCGAGGGCACAGGGCTGCTCAGTGGGGTGCCCTGCCAGCCAGGAGTGCCGGATGAGGCCTCTGACCCTGTTCCCAAGCAGGCTCTGCAGCTAGGGAAACTGAGGCACTGAAAGACAGTGGCACCGGCCCTGACACCCCGCAGGATGAGGTCTGCCTGTTTGCCTGGGATGCTGAGGAAGCATCCTAGGAGGAGCTGTGGTACAACCATAGGTTCCCGAGAGCAGAGTGTGCCGTAGCACCCAGGAGTCCTGGGAACCGGCTTGCTTGCCAGTGGGCCAGTGCCCGGGAGGGAGGGGGAAAGGCTCGAGCAGCTGGACCAGAGAGGAGCATGCTGATGGGTGCTGGGATCCCGGGGTGGCAGTAGGAGGGACTCTCCTCTACCCTATGCCAGGTGCAGGAGCTGGCGGGGAGCTCCCGGTGCCTTTGGCCGCAGCCCCCAGGATCCAGCCGGGCCGCCCCACTCTGCTGAAGCAGGAGGTTACTGGCAGTCAATGAACGCAAGTAACCGCTGCGCAAGCTGCAGTGGCGCCGACGTGAGCAGCATGCGTGGTGCCGGAGCCGTGTGCGTGGTGCCGGGATGCGCTGGGGGGGGCTGCCGGGCATGCTCATTCTGCTGTCGTCACGCACAGCCCCCTGCCCTCACCTCCTGGCCCTTGCTGCCCCTCTGCCAGCGGAGTCCACTCCTGGATGCAGGGCACCTGACTCCGAGGGGTGCAGGGGATGAACCGGGAGCTTGCGGTGCCGGACCCCCTGTCCTGGGGATGGATGAGCCAGAGGGACTGCCCCCCTAGGGTGGTACTAGGACTGTGAGCTGGTCCAGCCCTGAGGCTTGCCCCAGTCTGTGGGCAGGGGATGGACGTGTTGCCCTCGCCCAACACCAGCTGCCACCACAGGGCACATGGGGGGCATATTTCCAGCAGGGAAATGCTCAGGCCCGGTTCATGGTTCAGCATGGTCCTAGCACCCTGTATACCATTGCTGTCCTGCCAGGGCTGTGTTTTGGGAGTAGCTCCTGAGAGCCTGAGGCTGTGCCTGTTCCCTACTCCCAAGACATCATGTTCCTTCTGCCAGAAAATGCTAATCAGCTGCGTTTAAAGCAGAGATAATTCCAGGTCTGATTAGCAGTGGTTGCTGCTGGGTGTCACAGCATGAATGCCAATGAAGGCAACAGCCGGGCATCCAGCAGGCCTGGGGACTCTGCCTGCCCCATGCTACCCTGCTTCTCGTTGCCCCTCTCCACTGGCCCTGGGGACTGGGATCTCACAACGTGCCCAGGACCGATGTCACAGCCTGGTAATCTTCCTCAGCAGCTAGGTACCCTGACCCAGGGATTTCTATGGTCTTTGCCATGATCCAGGGCATGTGCCTCTTTGGCGCTGGAAATCAGTGGGGCCAGCCAAGGACCAGGGTCAGGGATGGTGCTGGAAATGACAGCTGCTGTAGAGACAGTCTCCAGGCACATGCAGCCCCTGGCATGATGCATGGAGGTCCTGAAGTCCCCCAGGTGCTGGGATGGCATCGCGGTCCCTGTAGCACTGCTGCTCTTGAAAGCCGAACCCATGCTGCTCTCCCTCCAGGGTACAAGACTCTCCTCAAATGCCTGTCAGGCAAGTTCTGCCAGCGGGAGCTCATTGGGATCATGGGGCCCTCGGGTGCCGGGAAGTCCACACTCATGAACATCCTGGCTGGCTACAGGTGAGGCTGGGGGGAAGCCAGCAGGTCTGGGAGTGCAGGGCTGGGGGTCCTGTGCTACATCCCCCCATGCCTCTTTCCTGCAGGGAGACCGGCATGAAGGGCCAGATCCTGGTGAATGGCCGGCCGCGGGACCTGCGTACCTTCCGCAAGATGTCCTGCTACATCATGCAGGACGACATGCTCCTGCCACACCTCACCGTACTGGAGGCTATGATGGTGAGCAATGCGGGAGCCAGGCAGCCTGCTGGGCTCTGTGGGGTATCCTGTGGACTGTGTCCTCGGGCACAGAGCCCACACTGACATCAGGCATTTCCAAGGGCTCTGGGAACAAAATCATGCTGTTCTTGCTCCCTTCATCCTGAGCCACTGCTCCCAGCCCTCAGCCGGGCAGGCACGGGGCCACAGTGCAGCCGATTCTGTTCCCTACATCTGATAGTCGTGTCTCCCTGCCCATCCTCTCCCTGCAGGTCTCTGCTAACCTGAAGCTGAGTGAGAAGCAGGAGGTGAAGAAGGAGCTGGTAAGTGCAGAGGAAGGTGGGCCTAGGCCCCTCATCTCTCCCCAAGACAGGGACAGTAGGGAAGGGAGGGCCCTGAAGGGACCAGGGGATGCTGAGGGGCTCCCAGCGATGGAGGTCTGAAGGGAGGTAGCAAGGATGGGGTGAGGGTCCATGGGAGCCCATGGTGAATGAGGCTGTTTCCCAGGTGAATGAGATCCTGACGGCCCTGGGGCTGCTGGAGTGCTCCTACACCCGCACCATCTCACTGTCGGGGGGCCAGCGCAAGCGCCTGGCCATCGCCCTGGAGCTGGTGAACAATCCTCCAGTCATGTTCTTCGATGAGCCCACGAGGTGAGGCTGCAGGGGCCGGGGCTCCCTGGCACTGCCTGTCCAGCTGGGCTTCCCCTGCTGTGGGACACCGGGGTCCCGGCACCCTCTGGAGCACAGCAGGGCTGTGAGACCTGAGGGTGGGATGTGACTGTGCCCACCAGGGCTCCAAGAGGGCTGGGGCTGCAAAGGGATGCTCTTCTCCATTGACCTGGGAGGAGGGTGCCCACAAGGGGAGGCAAGTGGGGGCATCTTTAGGATGTACTTCTCCCCCTCTTAACTCTTCCCTTCTTTCTCTGCTGTCTCTTTCGCCTCCACCCCGTCCCGCATGGCCACAGCGGTCTGGACAGTGCCTCCTGCTTCCAGGTGGTTTCCCTGATGCGGTCCCTGGCTCAGGGTGGGCGCACCATCATCTGCACCATCCACCAGCCCAGCGCCAAGCTCTTTGAGATGTTCGACAAGGTTTGGGCTGAGCTGGGACACAGGACTCTTCAGGGGTGCGGGGTCCCTCTGGCCCCAAGACCCAGGAGAGAGGCTATGGGAGGGATGGGCTGCAGGCATTTGACCTGGGGCTTGTGTGGCACGCAGCCCTGATGGCCGGGGTCTGGCAAGGGTGCCCTGTGTCACCCTAGGACAGGGAGGTGGGTAGGAGCAGATGACAGTACCCTTGGCTGCTCTGCATCTGCCATATCCTGGCTTTTTCTTGCAGCTGTACATCCTGAGCCAGGGCCAGTGCATCTTCAAAGGCGTCGTGACCAACCTCATCCCCTATCTGAAGGGTCTTGGCCTCCACTGCCCCACATACCACAACCCTGCTGACTTCAGTGAGTGCCCCTGCCCCAGCTGGGGCCGTGGTGAGGAGCAGAGGGTGGCAAGGTCCAAATCCAGTGCCCAAACCCTAGGGGCTGGGCATTCCTCCAGGTTGCCCAGGGAGCAGGGCTTCGCGTGCCCTTCCCGTTAGGTGCTGGCTGGGCAGTGCTGCTGTGTGGTGCAGCATTGTGGGGTGGAGATTGTGCTGGGCTCCCACCCCCCTGCTCCACGGGGTCATGGTCTGGGCAGAATGAGCAAAGTGATGGCAAGGGCTGGCTCAGTACTTCTCAGAGGTCCTGTCCTCTTCCACAGTTATCGAGGTGGCCTCAGGAGAGTACGGCGACCTCAACCCCGTCCTGTTCCGCGCTGTCCAGAATGGAATGTGCACCATGGCCGAGAAGAAGAGCAGCCCTGACAAAGCAGATCCATCATGCCCGGCACACTGTGTGACGGTGAGTGGGGATGAGAGGAGCCTCCTGCAGTGACGGGGAGTGGCAGGTAACAGGGTGCCCATCCAGGGACACCTCAGTCCCCTCTGCCCCACGGTGCACGGCTATCCTGTGATGCCTAGAGCCCCTTGGACACGGCGGGGAGCGTGGAGGTGTTCAGCCAGCCTCTGCTTCTCTTGAGCAACAGCTCTGTGCTTGCAGCTGGCAGTGCCTGTTCTCACCAGGGGTGCTCACAGGGGGCACCCTGGGAGCGTTTGGGTGCCATCCTAGTAGGGAGCCCGTGTTGTGAACTTGACCCGTGTCCTTGGCTTGTCTGTGGTCTTGCAGGACGTGGACCACATCGAGAGCCACACGTTTGCCACCAGCACTTCAACCCAGTTCTGCATCCTCTTCAAGAGAACCTTTATCTGCATCCTAAGGGACACGGTGAGGGCAGGGGAGGCTGGGCCAGGGCTGAGGGGATGGGGCCTGTTAGTCACTGGGGGCAGGCAGAGACAGGAGTTGAATGGGGGATGGAGTGGGGCTCACCCTTGAGGAGCAGGCAGGCTTTCATCTGCTGCCCTGTGATGCTCATGGGAAGCGGCCCTGCCTCGCTGAGCCCCTGTACCCTCTCTACCTGCAGGTGCTGACCCACCTGCGATTCATGTCCCACATCTGCATCGGGGTGCTGATCGGGCTGCTCTACCTGCACATTGGCAACGACGCGGGCAAAGTCTTCAACAACACTGGCTTTCTCTTCTTCTCCATGCTCTTCCTCATGTTTGCCGCGCTGATGCCAACCATCCTCACCTGTAAGGAGCTCCTTCCCCCAACACCCATTCGCTGCTTCCAACCCTTGGGGCAGAGGGGGGTGCTCCAGTTGTGTGGGAGTGTGTCTGCTGGGCAGTGTGTGGTGGAGCTAGATGAATTGGGCAAAAGAGGGGAAATGAGAGGAGAGGAAAAAAATTCAAACAAAGAAGAGGGGGAAAACTTCTGTTTGGGTGTATTGCAGTTTTGCCCTTTATTTAACGTTTGGCTATAATGTACTTGCTGGCTCAAAGCAGAATGCTGGAAATTTTTTTTTTTCCTGAGAAAATGTCTGTAAAACTGCATTTTCAGCTGCTTCACCTCTCTTTCACTTCCTCAAAACGTTTGCCTAAAAACCCCCAGCCAAATTGGCTTTTCCATGCAGAAAGTTCCCACATCGGTCACCGCTTTTTTTCCTTGGTGAAGATTTGAGCACCCGCTTGTGGCGCAGGCAGGAGGCTGCCTGGTGCTCTGTGCCGGGGCAGCATCACATCTGCCTGCACCGGGGCAGGTGGGCGTGGGGGCTGGAGCAGCCCAGGCCAGGGCACTGCTGGCTGCTAAATCCTTGTTTCCGTGCAGTCCCCCAGGAGATGTCTGTGTTCCTGCGAGAGCATTTGAACTACTGGTACAGCCTGAAAGCCTATTATCTGGCAAAGACCATGGCAGATGTGCCCTTCCAGGTGAGCTTTCAGCTGGACTGAAGCGTGGCCCTGATGCTGATGTGCCTTCCTTGGCACAGCCAATTGCCCGGCTACCCCAATACCCCAGGCTGGCCTTTTGAGGGGTCCCTGCGGCCCTCCATCCCCCAGGGAGGGTCTGTGGGGTAAGGATGGCCATGGGTCCAGCAGAGCGGTCTCTTTGCTTGCCCCTCTCCAGGTGATCTGCCCCATCGCATACTGCAGCATCGTGTACTGGATGACGGGCCAGCCACCTGAAGCCACACGCTTCCTCCTCTTCTCTGCTCTGGCCACCGCCACGGCCCTGGTGGCCCAGTCCCTCGGGCTCCTCATCGGAGCTGCTTCCACTTCCCTACAGGTCAGACGGGGCCCCAGCTTTGCCTGTTATGTGGAGATGGGAGGAGAGTTGCAGGGGGTCCCACGACAAGGAGGGGTGGAGGGAAGCGTTGCCCATAGGCAGGCGTGAGTGCCACAGGCAGTGCGCCCAGGGACAGGGACATGACACCCAATGGCCTCTGCTCCCCAGGTGGCCACCTTTGTGGGACCCGTCACTGCCATCCCTGTCCTGCTCTTCTCGGGCTTCTTTGTCAGCTTCAAGACCATCCCCACCTACCTGCAGTGGAGCTCCTACGTCTCCTATGTCAGGTGGGATGCTGCACTCTGGCCAGAAGCTCCCTGCCCTGGGCTTCCATGGGCTGGGGAGAGAATGGGGCTGCCTGTGCCACGTTGGTGACTCGTGGTGTGCTCTGCCCTAGGTATGGCTTCGAGGGTGTCATTCTCACCATCTATGCCATGGAGCGCGAGGACCTGGAGTGCCTCGAGGACTTCTGCCCTTTCCAAAAACCCATCAAGATCCTGCAGGAGCTGGACGTGGAGGAGGCCAAGCTCTACCTGGACTTCCTCATCCTGGGCATCTTCTTTGTCATCCTGCGGCTCCTGGCTTACCTGGTCCTCAGGTACAAAGTCAAGTCAGAGAGATAAAGGGGCCCCAGGGCCCCAGTGCCGTTCCCGGGCCTGGCCTGCTGTGAGAGACTGTTCTGCAGATGGACACAGTGCTCCTAGCAGGTCACGGACCGTGGTGGAGGTGTCGGTAGGTGCCAGCCAGGCCTGGCTCAGTCGAGAAGGGTTTTGAGACATCTCGGAACTGTTTTAACCTTTCCACACACTCTTCATTGCAAAAGTTTTGTACAGCCCTGGCATGTGCCACCCTCTCCCCCAGGACTGCAGAACCCCGCGGAGCTTGGATCCCCTCTTGTCGCCCCTGTCTGGCACTGCCCTTCTCCGCCAAACACATTGGGACACCGGGAACAGTCCCGCGGAGGCGGCTGTCCGCCAAGCAAGGCCAAGAGGAGCCGGCTACTCCAGACAGGAGGGGAGCAGTGCCCTGGGGCTGCCTGATCCTGGGGCTGAAGCAGGGAAGAGACACCTGCAGAGCATGGATCGGTAGCGCAGCACATAGCCCCGTTGCTCGCCCTGGCCAGCAGCATGTGTGTCAGTGCTAAGAAGAGCCCAAAGATGCAATAGGCCAAGTTGCACAAGGCTTTAGTGTTTCCCGTCGCTGTAGCCACAGAAATTGCTGCATCCCCTTTTTCTTTCTGCATAAATTCCTCCCTCCCCTTTTTTTTCTTCTTTTTTTATAAACCCCACTGCTTCCCAGGCTTCATGGAGGGGAAAGGGAGCCAGCAGGCAGGGAAGGACTTGGGGCTCTGTCTCAGACTTCTGCTCGGGTGCCATCCTCAGAGATGGGATCTTCAAACCTGGGGATGTGGCAGGGTCTGTGGGAACTGGACAGTATTCTCAGACCTTAGGGAGTCTCACGTTCAGTCCCTGCTGTCTTTGGGGCCTGAGCCAAGAGGATAAAATCAACCAACATGGAGAGAAGCGACTGGTCCCTTCAAGTGTCGCATGGAGTAGGGAGGATTTAGGTTCCCACACCCTGCCAGTGCCAGGCGGCTGAAAAGCAGGGCTGGGCTCAGCTGTGCCATCGCTGGAGCCTCTACTGCAGGAGAAGAGCTGGCCTCGAGCCCTCCCCTTGCACCGTCTCGCTCCTCACTCCTCTTCCCCCGTGTCCTGGTTTCGGCTGGGATAGAGTTAATTTTCTTCTTTCACAACTGCGGCTGACTCAGCAGAACAGGGAGGATGAGCCTCGTTCAGTACTGTCTGTGCAAGGAGGGGATGCCAGCCCCAGGGACGCCCAGCCTCATCACAGTGCAAACCTCCCAGGGTAACACTGTGCAGAAGGGGGTCCCAGCCGTGCCAGAACTGGAAAGCAGGTGAGAACTTGGAGCAGTTTGTTTGCATTGGCTGACCCTGACACTGGGAAGGGCTTTGCGCTTTGTGACTGGTATCAGGAAAAGGTCCCTTTTGGCAAGTGTCTCTGGTGGCTCTTTCTAAGTCACCTGCCTCTCCGCACCCCTTGCAGAGGAAAGACATTTTAGCACCTCATTGGCTCTCCAAAGGAACAGACCTGAGACCAGAGCTGGTGGGGCATCTGCACATGCTGCTGTGCTGGGAGCACAGCACGCTGCTTAGCCACATAGCACAGGCCTGTCTGGGTGTGCTGGCACTGGTGTCGTGGGGCTGCACTGGTCACCCACGCGCATGGGAACCCACTGCTTTTTAGTGAGCACAGACATGGGAAAGGCAGCTCTGCCCCATCCTGGCATGCTGGGCCCCGGTTCAAATGCAGTCTGTGAGATGCTGCTGCCGGCACGCTCTGAGCAGCAGGGGATTGCAGGGCAAATGCCAGATTTCAGCAAAATCCTTGAGACTGTTCTTTGCTTTTACTGGCTTCTGTTGGGACTGCTCCACACAGCAGGGTCTGGCTGGCCTGCAGGAGGACAGCAAACGTGTGGCAGCACTGATGCTGGGCACTCAGCAAGGTCGGGTTTCCCCTGCCTGAACAGCATTGCTGTGAGGAGCTTGTAGCCATGGGGCTCTCCTGCACAGAGGCTCTGGAAGCAGGACATGCCCTGATGCCTTTTCTATGCTGAGCATTGGGGTTTTCCCCAGGGGCTCTTGTCTGACTTACCGCTGTCCCTCACAAAATTCCCCTCCGCTCCTGGATCCTCCTTTACTGCCAGCCCTGTGCCATGCTTTGAAATGGAGCCGTGCCAGCTTGGGGGGCTGCAGTCTCCTGGGCATGATGCTGCCAACTGCGGCTCTAGGTGCACAGTCAAATGGGGAATGGTCCCCACGTCTGCTCTGTCATCAGGTGGATGGATGGGCAGGGAGCCAGGGGGATGGTGGAGCTGCAGGCTGTCACCCTTCTCCATCTCACCGTCTGTGAGGCTGATGGGACCAGTGCCCCGCTTCTGTCATGCTCCTGGATTGTGGCTAGTTAAGCCTTGCCCAGCGCAGGGTGCGCACTGCTGGGCTGAGGGTTTTCCCCTGGATGGATACCAACTCAGCAGAAGGTGCCAATGGTGCAGCTTTGCACAGCTCCTGCCTCCTGCCCAGTCCCTGGCAGCGGGGGCTCTCATGGTGGGTCCTGCTTCCTGCACACTGGAGGCACTGCTGTCCCCAGCGCTGTGTCCTGCTGCTGTCTGCACCCAGCACACGGTACCTCCTGGGACACCCCTGTGCCATCGCAGCCAACACCACCACCACTCCCAGAAGGACCAGGATGAGACGGGCTAGTGATGGCCCATGTGAGGAGCAGAGGGGGCTACCAGCAGGCACTCATGACTGCCACTGCTCATGTCCCACATGCACAGGGATGCTGCAGTAGAAGCCTTCGCTGGCCTAGCCTCTGCTGCTTGCAGAAAAACCCCATGGGACAGGCTGCCCGAGCTCAGCGTGGCCAGAGGGAGACTGCCAGGGCAGGTAGCTCCACAGGTGGCTGCTCGGACCAGCCTGTCCGGGATGGGGCAGTTGGCAGCACCCCCAGGATTCCAGGACAGTTCAGCACAGCCCAGGCCTCCTCCGCTGGTGAGTGCGCGGGTTGCAGAGTCCTGGCTGACCAGGTACACGGCCACTGCGGGGCAGAGGGCCGGGGCGAGCTCTGGAGATGGCTGTGTCCCCGAGCTGGGCAAGGGCGCTGGGGAGTGAGGGTTATGGGCCAGGTGCTCCTCGTCCCCAGGGCCAGGGCAGCGGGAGACCTGAGGCACCCCGGAGAAGGGCACTGGCACTCCCAGTGGAGCCAGCAAGTGAATGTGTTGGTATGAAGGGGCTGCAACGAGTGAGGGATCTGGGCACCCCGTGGCCCAGAGGGCCTGGGTCTGGCAGACCCTGCCCCAGGCAAAGGCACCCTCAGTGGTGCCCAAGGGCAAACGGTGCCCAAGGAGTGAACTGAGCCGAGGTGCCGGAACGGGGCCATCCAATGCCCCTTCCCTCTCAGTGAGGACAATCCCAGAGATGGTGGAAGGCACAGAGAAATGCAAAGGGACGAGCACGTTTGCACTGAGCCCTGCAGGCTGGCGTGGCTGGGCTGAGCACTTGGGGTTTATTGCCCTTCCGCTGCCTGGGTGGCCCCCTGCCCTGCAGGAGCAGGGCAAGAGGGGTTGTCTCTGCCCTGGCATGGCAGAGGGATGGGGTACAGCCGCCCTGCTCTGGGGTGTCCCTTAGTGGAGCAAGGCTGGGCCACTCCAGCCCACTGGCTAACAGGCATCTCTCCAGGATGGTGTCTTCAGGGCAAGATAGGCACCGAGCCGGGCTGTGGCAGGACTCCTTGGCAATAACACTGGTCGTTTTGTGGTGTGGGGTCAGGGGTGCCCAGGCTGGGTCTTGCCTTGTCCTGAGTGGGTGGGGAGCACCCATGTGCTGGGCTGGCACGCAGCAGTGAGGATGCACTTTATCAGAGCAGGGGAGCGGGTCCGTGGGTGCTTCTGGCTACAGGAATCCCAACCAGGGTATGCGTCTGGATAATCATGAGGAGCGTGATGGAGGAGAGCAGGCTTCCTCCCTCATGCCTCCTCTCCCCTTCTGCCCCCTGCCTTCCCTTGCAATGCACTTTGAATGGATGAGGATGTGATTCAGGCCATGGCTCCAGCTCCCTGGGAGCACCGGTTGAACCTCAACCCATCTAAAACTGCTTCAGCCCCTTGGCCTGGCTCCTTCAACCCACAGGCAGCGTTGTATCAGGTACTGCCTCTCCCCCATGTGTGCTGTGAATGCAGGCAGGCAAGCAGGGGTATGGCCTCTCACCTCCACGCATGTCCAGGCCACCTTTGTCACATGCACAAGAAGAGCAAATGCATCGTCACCTGGCTGGTGCTAGGATTTGCTGGAGGGGAGACTGAGCTAGCACAGGGAGGGGATGGGGCTTCTCCCAGGGTTTCACCCCTCTCTCAAATCAGGCAATAAAACAGTGTTTCATTCTCACTGTGTGTGGACACCATTTGTCCCGTCCCTCTGCCATGGGAGCTCCTGGTGCCACGGGCAGCCACAGGCTGCCCGGGATATCTTCATGTGTCCCTGCCACGCTGGACCCTATGGTTTTCCAGCCTTTGCCTTGTCCACGTGTGCAGAGGAGGTTGTACAGTGGGCTGCACGTGTGATACAGGGCAGGGGTGGACCATGCAGAGAGGTGCAGCTGTTGAAACCCGTGCTCCCACATGACCAGAGGTGAGCTGCTTTTTCCCTGGGACTGTTTGCCAAAATAAGATGCAGGTAACAGCCCAAAGGCCAAGGGAGTCTGCTTGCACAGCTGTAGCTCTGCTGTGGTAGCATTTGCCCGGGTCCTTCTGTTTTGCTGGGGGGAGGCTGCAAAGTGGGGCCAGGGCACCGCTGCCCACAGCTGCAGCCTGGCAGGAACCAGGCAGGGCAGAGGTGAGCTCCTGGGCTCTGGGGGGAGCATGGGGCTGCTGGCAGGGCCCTGCTGGCTCTCCGGGCTGTGCCGCACACGCAGGTAAGTGCCCCGCAGGGACAGGGTACCTGGGTCCCAGCTTGCTGCTGGTGCTCACCGGTGTCCGGAGGGCCCCAGGAGCTGTTGAGCAGGTGGAGATGTTGTGGCTTATTTCAGTCTTTCTGAGATGCCAGCT